CCCCACTCCTCCTCCCGCCGGGGCGCCCACCGGCCCACCCTGCCCTCTGCACGGGACCCGGGTTACGCCCACCTTTGTTTTGGTCCAAGAACTCTTCAGTGAAGATGGGGACATCGAAGGTGGAGAAGCCGTCGCAGTCCCCACCCTGGGACAAGGGACTAGGTAGCAGTCTTGTGTTTGGGAAGGGCAGCCGCACCCTGGTGTCCCTGAGCCCAGGCCAGAGTCACTGCTCCAACTCTACTTGGTCCTGGGTCACTCAGGGGTCTAGAAACCTTCAGACCTGCTCCCCAGGTGGTCCTGGGAAGAGGGGCGCTTACCTTGTGCCCATTCAAGAGGGTATTCATGAGCCCGGACCCCGAGTCCTCTGGTGGGAGAGGGAGGAAGGCACCGTCAGCCTCCAGCCGCCCCGGGCCAGGTAGCTCCGCAGGGGCTGTTCCCCTGCCTGGAACATCCTCCGTACCCAGAGCTCCACCAGTCCCACTCGGGGTCTGTCTGGGTGGGTACCAGTACCTGCTCTCATCCGGGCTGGGCCCTGCCCACCTTTTTTTGGAGACATTTTTGATATAGGGCACATGCATTCATCAGAGAGACAGAGACAGAGACAGAAAGCGAAAAATCACCCCCAGAGGGATGGCCACTCTGCAATCCCTTCTCCTCCATTCTTCTCTTGGGATCTCAGCACTCAGGCACACACGCCAGCGTGCATCGTAAGCTGCCAGGTCCAGGACTCGAACCGTGGTCGACCTGCCCACCTTTCTTGATCTTCTTCTCTTGAATCTTCTCGGTGCACATCTTGTAGGCTTCCGACTGCTGGTAGGCCCGCAGCTCCTTCATGTACTGCTGCTTCTCCCTCTCCGCCTCGTCCAGGTACCGCTGCGGGAGAGCCACAGGGCTGGGCCCAGCGTAGAAGGAGCAGGCGCCAGCCTGGCCACGCCCAGCACTCCGCCCCGCCCTCTGCCCTCCAGTGGGACCCCTAATGAGCCTGCTGCTCAATGCACCTGCTAGCCCGCGCCTGCCCTCCCAGGCCACCAAGGCCGGAGTCACTGCCCACTCCCGCCCTGGGGACCCACTGTGTCTGCACTGTCCTCCAGTACCCGTTTCTTGGTGGTTTTAAGGTTTTTGCCATAGGGCATGTGTGCTCCACGGAAAGACAGAGAAAGGGAACGAGAAATCAGCCCCCAATGGGGTTGGCCACGCCACAGTCCCTTCTCCTCCTGGGATTTTTGGGCATGCATGCACACATGCCCTGCGTGATTTTCAAGCCACCAGGTCTGGTGATTTTCAAGCCATCGCAGTCGGTCATAATAATAATAAACTAATAAAATTAAATAAATATTTATAAAATATTTGTTATTATTATCATTTTTAAATCTGACCAGAGAGAGAGAGAAAGCGAGAAAGCAAGCCACCAGGTCAGGGTCTGGAACTGCCCTCCACCACGTGGGAGTCCAAAGCCTTTACCATCACGCCACCTGTTGGTCCCTTGATAGTTATAAGTCTAAGAACTACTCTTCCTGGGTCTATCTGTGGCCTGGTGGTGAAGGCAGCTCGATCCCACAGGCGTCGAGATTTGAGACCAGGACTCGGTGCCTTGAGAAACAGCTGTGTGCACGTGCATGTCTGCCCACAATCCCGAACCGAGGGAGAGAGAAAGGATTGCAGCGTGGCCATTCCCCGTGTGTGTGTGTGTGTGTGTGTGTGCGCGCGCGCGTGTGATTTCTCACTTTCCCTCTCACTGTCTCTGTCTCTCTGCCTGGCGAGTAGAAGCGCCCTATGGCAAAAACCTCTACAAAAAAAAAAAAAAAAGAAACAGAAAGAAACCTACTCTTTCTTATTGCTAGGACTTGCCGGGGTGGCGCATAATGGATGGTCGTAGCCCCAGGTGGAATAATGAACTCAAGGCGGTCTGGGCCGCTGGGCGATACTGCCCCCAGGGGTGTCTGCGAGCAGGCGGGCCCGCCCGCCCTCAGCCCCGCGCCCTGCCCCACCTGCTTCTCCGCCGGCTGCAGCTTGCTCCACTCGGCGCCCAGCATCTTGGTGATCTCGGGAAACGGCAGGTCCGGGTGGCGCGTGCGGATCTGCTCCCGCCGCTCATTCAGGAAGCGCACATAGCCCGTGACAGGTGCCTTGGGCCCATTCGGCAGAATCTTCTTCCGCTTCTTGCCCTTGGGCCAGCCGCGCTTCTTCACTGGCTGCAGAACCCCAAAGAATCATTGGGAGGAGACTGGAGGACTGGGGCGGAGCTCAGAGAGTTGGGGACGGGACCTGGGAGTATGTGGGCGGAGCTAGATGATGGACGGAGCTAGTATGGAGGTGGGGGCCCGGAAGGGCTGGAGGTATGAGCGGGCCAGGGGTCCCGAACTGAAGAACCAGGGGTCCTTGGCAAGGAGACATGGGATCCGAGGTACTAGGAGCAGGAGTTGAACGCTGGGAGAGGGTTGGCTTGGGCTGTGGGCGTGGCCAGTGGGCGTGACTTCTCGCTGGGGGAAACGCCCACAGGCTGGGAGGTGCCTCCGCAGGGCGGTGAGCAAGGCGGTGGGCGGGGCCCTGGACGTGCGTAGAGCGAGCACTGGGCGGTGGGCGGGACCTGGCCTTCGCGTTAACTGGTCACCCGGCCAGTTGGGGCGCGGCACCGCGACAAGGAATGGCCTCAGCTTCCAGAAAGAAATCAGGACTGTGGGTGGAGTCACAACTAATTCAAATCTAGGCTGGGGCGGGGCTTCAGCGTTGGGGGCGGAACTCCGGCACCTCCCCCTCCGCAGTGCAAGAACTCACCTCCTCCTCTTGGGGTCCCTTCTCGCCCGCCCGCGGTCCCTCGCTGCGCTCCTGCTTGACAGCCACCACGAAGGCCCCATGCTGGCCCGGAGCCTTGCCGCCCGCCGGCCTGGAGCACCCCGCCCCCGCCCCCCCATACCCCGACGCCCACCAGAGCTTTTAAGAGATCACGGATGGTGGAGAGGGGGCAGACAGAGGAGGCAGGATCGAAGACAGTCAGGACCCGGGTCGGGACAGAAGCATTAAGGACAGGAGGTGTCCCTCTGAGGAACTGGGGCCCAGAAAAGGGGGTCTCGGGGTAAGCGCAGAAGCCCACGGGGACCCTTTCGCCTAGGTGGGAGAGTCAAGACCCAGGGGAAGCGGGGATCTAGGAGCTCAGACAAGACAGGAGGGGGCTGCGGCTGGCACCCTGGGGTTGGGGGCCAGGGGTGGGGATGGAAGGGTCGGCGCACTCACGCGGAGGACACGCCGGGCTGCTTGGGGCCGTGGGACATGGCCGCTCCGGGCCCA